GCAGGGTGGCTGAGGAGAAGATGGGGCTTGTGGTCAGAAGGAAGCACAGGGTCAAGGTTGTGTGCCCGCCATGGAGGTCTGTTTTCCCCAAAGTTGTGACACCTGGGCTTGCACAGCCAGCACTTCCTGCAGCCCAATGCCTGGTGGGCAGCTCCAGGTCCAAGTTCAAAGTGCAAACCCGACCTTCCCCCAGAGCCGCCCCCCTCAGCCTTCCCTGTGTCGGGCGGCAGGACACAGACCTGGGCCCGATATCTGGCCCCCCCCTCCCCGTGGCCTGGCCGTCCAGGCTCATGCTGCCTGTCTCTCCCTCCCTCCCTCCCGGCCTTCCCTCGCCCGTATGCCTCCTCTGCGCCCATGTGTCCGCCACTCCCAGCGGGCGCCCAGACGTTTTAAAACCTGAATCAGACCAAGCCCCACCCCCTGGGGACCTGCCGTTCCCTCCAATCAGAGTGAGAAGCACGAGTCCCCACAATGTCCTGCAGGCAGAACCCCATCCGGCCCTCACTCCCCTACGCACCTGCCGCCCTCCCCTCTCGCCCCCCTGTCCTGGGACCAGAGCGTTTTAGGCAGGAGAGCCTGGCCCCCCTGGCCGTCCCTCAGGCGAGGAAGAGGAGGGGCAGGGAGCCCTCCTTACCCAGACCACCCGGAGCCCACGCTAACCCAGACCTTCTCACGTGTCCACTGCTCCTCCACGCCGGCGGCCCCGGGGCCTGGTCACAGCCCCGGATGTGCACCGAGCCCTTCCCCTCCCCGGGTGGCGAGGTCAAGCCGTGTCGGGCGAAGCAGGGATTTGCCCTTCAACCCAAACCCGGCTCTGAGCCCCACCCGCTCTCCTTCCTCCCAGTGGAGACCTGCAGGTCACGGGCAGCGGCCACTGTCCCTACAGCACGGCCCAGAAGGCCGTGGGCAAGGACAACTTCACCCTCATCCCCGAGGGCGTCAACGGCATCGAGGAGCGGATGGCCATCGTCTGGGACAAGGCGGTGGTAAGGCGGCTCCCCTCCCCACCCCGGGAACATCCCAGAAGCACCCCACCCGGCCCGACAAAAGCCAGTGTGCCGTGGTCCTCGGCGTGCTGTCCTCGGTGACGTGGGCCGAGGCCAAGCGGAGGAAGTGGCCCCGGCCGGGGGCCCTCACATGGGCAGCTGTCCTCCCTCCTCAGGAATGACAGTCGTGCTTCATAAGGGCGAGGGAGAAAGAGGCAGAAACGTTAGTGATGAGAGAGAATCCCTGATTGGCTGCCTCCTGCATGACCCCCAATGGGGATCGAGCCTGCAACCCGGGCATGTGCCTGGGCCAGGAATCAAACCAGTGACCTCCTGGTTCATAGGTTGATTGATGCTCAACCACTGAGCCATGCCAGCCGGGCCGTCTTGTTTACAACCACATTTTAGCTCCTCTAAAGGCGATGTCACAGTCCTGATCGGTGTGGCTCAGTGGATAGAGCGTCGGCCTGCGGACTGAAGGGTCCCAGGTTCGGTTCCAGTCAAGGGCATGTACCTTGGTTGCGGCACATCCCCAGTAAGGGGTGTGCAAGAGGCAGCTGATCGATGATTCTCTCTCATCGATGTTTCTAGCTCTCTCCCTCGCTCCCTTCCTCTCTGTAAAAAAAATCAATAGAATATATTTAAAAAAGAAGAAGGTGAGGTCACTGAGCTGAAACCAAAGGCTGTTCCTTTCTGTTACCCTGGGCCCAGGGAGGGCGGGACGCTGGGAACCTGTGATGCAGGCGTGGGCGCGGGCGGTCCGTTCATTTCCGTCCGCAGGTGCCCGGCCTGGGCCCTCTCAGCCAGGAGGGGAGAACGTTCCAGGCTCCTTGCAGGGACCCCACCCCCAGGCTAGGTCTGTGCCGCCTGGCGCCTCCGGCCCTCTTGGACGGTCTGCTCATCGGCGGGTCTCGCCCTCAGGCCACAGGCAAAATGGACGAGAACCAGTTCGTGGCCGTCACCAGCACCAACGCCGCCAAGATCTTCAACCTGTACCCCAGGAAAGGGCGGATCGCCGTGGGCTCGGACGCCGACGTGGTCATCTGGGACCCCGACCGGGTGAAGACCATCACGGCCAAGAGCCACAAGTCGGTGAGTCCCCGCTCCCCGCCCCCCCTGGCTGGGCCTTCGCGGAGGAATGACACTCAGGCTGCCGCTAGGGGGCGACCTGCTTGTCTGCCCGACTCAGTGCTTGCCTTCTCCTCTTGGAGGGATGGGGTCTGGGCAGCTGGGCTCAAGCTATTAGGCACGGCCGTCTGTTTCTTCCCGCCTGTGCACCCCCCCGTTCCCCCCTTCTGGTTCTCTCGCACAGAGGCCAGTACAAGGTCCGAGAATCTCCCTGCAGTGGTGGAGCAGGAGAGCGTTACATCTGGTTTAAAAATGCCTGTTTCATTGTGTGTCCATGGCTGACGGTCGGGAGCGGAGAGGCCTGGGCCTGGAGCCGCCTGTGTGGGCACAGCCAGGGCCGCTCCCGGGCCCCAGGCCCACGCCATGGCGAGTGGTCACCTCTGCGCTCGTGCCCTGTGTGTGCCTGGCCTGAGGGCATTCATCTGAGAGCCTTGTAAGCAGGAGGGTGGGCAGGAATGCAGAACCGGGACATGGAAGAAATGCGAGAACACTGTGTGTTCACTGGCGAACACACCCGGTCTGCCTTGTATTATAATTAACAGGCAAATCATGGCAGGTGCTGTCTTCCTTTTTCTTTTTGAAATATGTTGTCTAGTTCACTTTAAGAAAATGTTTTTATTGACTTCAGAGAGAAGGAGAGGGAGAGAGTGATGGAAACACCCATGATGAGAGAGAATCATGGATCCTCTGCCTCCTGCATGCCCCACACTGGGGATTGAGGCAACCCGGCTCTGTGTCCTGACCAGGAATCGAACCGTGGCCTCCAGATTCATAGGTTGACAGCCCCTGTGCCACGCTGGCCGGGCAAGAAAGAATATTTTTGAAAAGACCCAGAAACGTCTGTTCTAGTCAGCACAGCCACGTGCCTGACCCCAGGGGCCCCATCACATCCATGACGCCTCCGACCACATTAGCTTGATCATAAAACACCACCCTCCACCCCGATGCCCAACAGCGAGGGGCTGGTCACCACGGGGAAGGGCACACAGCGGGCTATCACACAGCCTTGGAGAAGGCGTCTTCGGAAGAGCCCTGGGAAGTGGCTGTGGCCTGAGGGGGCGCGGAGGCCCCGTGGGGGACCCCGTGGCCGTGCCGGGGACCGTGAGGGCACAGCCGTGGTTCTCGCCGGCAGGCCGCGGAGTACAACATCTTCGAGGGCACGGAGTGCCACGGCTCCCCGCTGGTGGTCATCAGCCAGGGCAAGATCGTCTTCGAGGACGGCACCCTCAGCGTCAGCAAGGGCATGGGCCGCTTCATCCCGCGCAAGCCCTTCCCCGAGCACCTCTACCAGCGCGTCCGGATCCGCAGCAAGGTGCGTGCCCGGGCGGCGGCGGCGGGCGTCACAGCCGTGGCCTCCGAGCGCGTGGCCTCCGAGCGCGTGGCAGTGGCCTCCGAGCGCGTGGCCGTGGAGCTGTGGCCGTGGCCTCCGAGCGCGTGGCCGTGGAGCTGCGGCCGTGGCCTCCGAGCGCGTGGCCGTGGAGCTGCGGCCGTGGCCTCCGAGCGCGTGGCCGTGGAGCTGCGGCACTGTCCGGCCTGCATCTCCTGGTCACCGCCAGACCAGGAGGTCCCGGGCTTCGCCCACTGTAGAGGAGTGTACATGTGTGTGTGTGGAGTGAGCAGGTGCCTTGTAGCATGTGTGCATGTATGTGTGTGTGCATATATGTGAGTGTGTGTGTGTGTGCGCGTGTGCGTCTCAAGGCGACCTCAGGTCACTCCCACCACGGGCTTCTGAACAGGAAGGGTGCGTGTGCCTTGCCCATCAGTCTCGCTCCCCCTCCCTCCCGTCTAGGTCTCCGGGCTGCAAGGGGTCCCCAGGGGCATGTATGACGGTCCCGTGTACGAGGTGCCGGCGACGTCCAAATACGCAACTCCCGCTCCTTCTGCCAAATCCTCGCCTTCCAAACACCAGCCGCTGCCCTTCAGGAACCTGCACCAGTCCAACTTCAGCCTGTCCGGTAAGGGCCGCCCCGCAGCGCCTCCCCCGGGAACGGCCCCGGGCCTGCCGCACCCCGCGGGGAGGGGACGGGGCGCCCTGTCAGAGTGACCGGCGGTCTCTTGCAGGTGCCCAGACAGATGACAACAACCCCAGGCGCACGGGCCACCGCATCGTGGCGCCCCCCGGAGGCCGCTGCAACATCACCAGCCTCGGCTGACCCCGGAGGAGCGGACGCGCGCGAGTGGAGGATTCTGGGAAAACGCTGTCCATTCCTTCCGCCGCCGCCGGTGTTTCCCAAGCCCATAGTTCCGTTTGTGCTGACGGGAACCCGTCGGATGATGCTCTTTCCTTTCGCGTTAGGAAGCCGTGGTACTAGTGTGGTCTGTTTGCTCGGAAGCCCCTCGCCCCCAGATGTGTGTCCATGCCGTCCGTCCCGCCCCCCCCACCTCCGCCCCTCCCGGCTCATGGTCCCCTTGCACCCTCGTAGCTGTTCTAGGGTAGTTGGTGCATGTTGCTAGGTTACGTATGCAAGTCTGTGCGAGCGTCTGACGGCACACGAGGGCCGACCGGACACAGGCCCGGCCTCGGGCCCTCAGGGTCCCCGGCCCCATGTGAAGATGTTTACTCGTCGCCCCCACCTCAGTGGGCCCGGGAGATAAGCCCACCCCCGCCCCCGCAGGGACCTGTGAGCTCTCGGAAGCAGGGAGCTTGGAGCGGCGTGTGTTGGCCACGTCCGGGTCCCGGCCTCGGTCTGTGTGTCTGTCCTCCCGGCCAGCCCTGGGCGTCGGGCCGCGCCAGCTCCCCACCCGGGGAGGGGTCTCTCGTACCCGCGTTCGTCCCCACATGGGGCTGGTGCCGTGGGGGGGGGGGGTGCTGCTGCCGGTGGCCCGTGTCCTCGTCCCTCCGAGGGGGCTGGCGGGGCGGCCAGATTTTTAACGTTTTGTACAGAGTTTTCCTTTGTAATCACCCCCATTTTTACTTAATGACCGACCTGTCGTGGCTCTTATTTCTGAATTCAGCGCTTGTGGAAAATAAAGGGAAGGGCCCCTGGCCCGCCTGGGGTGTCGTCTGTGACGCTTTCTCAGACTCCGTGCCCCGAGCCGCGGGGGGCCCGCGGGGGGTCCGCGGGGGGTCCGCGGGGAGTGACCTGTGACACCCCCGGGGCTAAGGAGGCCGTGCCAGGAGGTGAACCGATTGCCGGGCAGGAGGGTGGATGCGAGGCAGCCGGCACGCCGCCTGCCCGTGACCTCGTCACCCACTCAGCCGTCCCGGCTGGGAGCCAGCAGGCTGGGAGCCAGCAGCCGGAGGCCGCTGTGCCGACCCAGGGACGAGAACAGGAGTGATTTCTCTGCGGACCAGGGTCTCAGGTGCTGCTGCTCCAGGGAGCTGTGTTCCAGAGGCTACAGAAGGAAACGCTTTCCTTGGCCACGAGAGGGCGCTGTTGGCTGACTTTGGGAACCAGGTCTGCTGACCAGTCGACTGGCGGGTGCTGAGGCCGGTTAAACCCCGTCATTAGTGTGTGGGTCACTTTAAGGAGCCCCTCTCCTGCCTGAGACGGTCTAGCTCAGGTTTTAAGAAATAAACACTCAGGTTGTAAACAGTCCAGAAAACCCCCTGACTGTGGCCCAGATCCCAGAGCCCCGGGACGCCCAGACGGCCACCAAAAGAATGGTCTCACCCAACGGGAAACCCAGGCTTTGGCTGAGAAGACCGCTCCTGGCCGGTCTGGACGCCTCGGGCATCCTCACCGTCCCCTGGGAAAGCGGTGACTCCGGGACACTCCTAGGGAGGGGGTGCAGTCTGCACCTGTGTTGGGGTCCAGGGACCCTGAGACTCACGCTCAGTGGCCGGGCCTTGGCTGCGGGCTGAGCCAGGACAGGAATGGGTCCAGGTGAGATCCCCATGGCAGCCAGCGGCCATGGTTCCCAGGACAGAGTCCAGGATGGACATGCGGGGGGGGGGGGGGGGGCCGAGCCCCCACCCGGGACACAGCAGCCACACCCTGCCCTCCCCGGAGCCTGAGGGCGCGAACGGGAGCCTGGGGGGGAAGGGGAGGCAGGTGCTGGGCAGCAGGGCACGTGGCGGGAGGCACCGAGCGAGGACGGAGCCACAGAGACACACACACGCAGACGGCATCTGGCCCTGGGCGTCTGATTGTCCGAGCAGCAGGTCCAAACACTTATGGTGCTGCTTCAGGCCCGTTAGCCCCCATCTCCACCCCCCACACACCAGGCCTGTGAGCACAGGGAGACCTCTCCCCCAGTGGGCGGGTCCCTCCTCAGTCTCACATGGCAGGGGCCGGGGCAGGCACTCAGACCTTCCATTCCACCCGGAGGACAGGCCTTAAACTACAAGTTGCTCCTCCTCTTCAGCAGCTTCCTGGGGTCCTCCCCCGGCCCAGTGTCGCTCTCCGGCTGGCCGGGCCTCTGGCTGCGTAAAGCAAGGGAGAAAGGCTGCCTCAGAGCTGGTGCCGCCTCCGGCCAGGCAGATGCACACAGTAGGTCCACCAGCACCCGGGGCACTGAGCGGGGGCCCTGTGTACCTGAGCGGTCCTGAGGGGTGCTCCCCGGGGGCAGGCTCCTCCTGGCTGGGCCCCCCGGGGTCCCGGGGCCCAGGCTTCTTCCGTTTGGTCCTCAGCGGCTTCTCTGTGAAGACACAGGACCGGGCACGGCTGGGACCCGGGCCAGTGAGCTTCTCGGCCTCACTCCAGCCAGCCAGCCTGATTCTCGGGGCCAGGGATGTGCTCGGTACTCGCTGCTCTCACACCCACTTAAAGTGTCAGGAAACAGGCCAGGTCAGTGGTCAGCAAACTGCGGCTCTCGAGCCACATGAGGCTTGCGAGCCAAGGTTTGCCGCTCTGTCGACTAGTGAGTTTGCCGACCACTGACCTAGACTCTTAATTCCAATACTAACAGGCTATTGTTCCTTGAGATTAAGCCCTATCCCAGTGGTGGGCAAACTCATTAGTCAACAGAGCAGCAAACCGAGGCTCGCAAGCCACATGTGGCTCTCGAGCCGCAGTTTGCTGACCACTGGGCCAGGTGTCCTCTCAAGCCGAACAGCCCGTGTGGCAGAGTCGGGATTCGAACTCGGGGCTGCCAGCCCCACTTGGATTCCCCAGCCGCGGGCTGATGGGAAGGCCCCGAGGCAGCAGGCACCGGAGAACACAGCCCAGGCCCCAGGTTTATTTAAGAAGCTTGTGTCTTTTCACACCTTCCCTGCCTCTCCCCTCAGCAGGCTGCCTCTCCCGGTGACCTCACTGAGCTGTCTGCAGCAGGGGGAGGAGTTACAGATGGGGAAACAGAGTCAGGAAGGGGAGTCACTGATCCATGGAGAGCCAGGGGCCCCCCCGGGGTGTCCTAACTTACAGATATGACATGAAGGCCCAGAGAGGGTAAGTGCGGCTCCCACGGCCACACAGCCAGGCAGTGGGAGACGGGAGACGGGAGCCCCTGCCCAGCCTCCCCCCGCGGCCTACCTGGCAGCCCCCGCTTACTGGAAGACGGCTTGCTTTCGGGAAGGGGCACCCGGGCCAAGGCCGCCAGCTCGGTGATGAAGCTCTGCTCGGCCTCCTGAAGGCAAAGTGGGGGGATCAGCGGGTCCCCCTGAATCCCTCCACTAAGACGGGGACCCCGCGTGGAGGAGAATTCTCCCGGGAGCACCCAGGGAGGCCGGGAGCCGGCAGAGGCCCTTGAGGGAGGGAGCTGACATGAGCCAGCGCCTGCCGGGTAACTGTCCCTCCTCACTCACACCAGCCACGCACCCCCATTCTGCAGGTGGGAACACTGAGGTGAGGGGCCCAGGGAAGGCCGCGGAGGCGGCAGCGGCTGGTCCGGGACCTCGCCTGCTTCTGCCTGACTCCAGTGATGCCTGCCCCGTGGCTAAGCACACAGACCTGGGTGCCAGGATTTACCGACTGTGGGACCCTGGCCGTGACTCAGCCTCCCGGAGCCTCAGTTTCCCCATCTGTAGCTGGGATCCCCACGGGAACCTTCTCGGCCGGGGGGCGACATCGGTGGCACAGGGAGCTCAGTCAGGGATGCCTCCGTCACCGAGTGCCTCTCCATTCTCCCCATGGCCACCCCCGTCACTGCCCTTCCAGCGGCGTGTGCTCTGGGGCCCGACACCCCACAGCTGCCCCAGCATCTGACTTCCTTTAAAGCAGCAGTTCCCAACCTTCCTACCGCCGCCACCCACAGGCTGGGAGCCGCTAGCGGGCCGCCCGAGACCATCGGAAAACACAGACATTCACATCATGATTCATAACAGTAGCACAATGACAGTTATGAAGTGGCAACGAGAATAACTTTACGGTCGGGGGCCACACCGCACGAGGAACTGTGTTAAAGGGCCGAGGCCTTAGGAAGGCGGAGAGCCACTGCTTTAGAGGCAGTCCATTCGCTTTATAGGCGCCGTTCGTAATCACACGCCCGTGAAGTTTTTCTGTGATGAGACGCCCACCGGCGAGCACAGACACTGCGCTTCCAGAAGGTTCTACGTCCAGGACAAGTCTCAGTCCCCAGCAGCCCTGCCTAAGGGACTGATCAGCCCTGACGGGAGCAGCCCACGTGCTGGCGGACCCGCCCAGGGGGACGCTCCCTGCCCGGGACCAGGCTGTGGACGCGGGGTCCCCGGGCTCACAGGTTCAGCGAGGCTGATGTGGGATCAGCGGTGAGACTCCGCGGGGGCCGAGGGGTCCCGAGTGAGCCGAGCGGGGCGTGCGGCCCCTCACCAAGACCAAGACCCCACCGCTGATCTGTGATCACAAGGCCAGTCTTCGCCCCCAGAAGCCCTGCCCGGGCCGCTTCCAAACTGTACCTGCAGCTGCGCCTCCAGCTGGGCCTCCAGGAGGTCCAGGCCCCGCGCCTGCTGCTGCCACGCATCCAGGCGGGTGCGCTGGTGGGCCGTGAACTGGGCCAGGAACCGTTTCTGCTGCGCCCGCATCCTGGCGGGAGGGAGGGGGGGGGGACATCAGCGATGCCCGGGCGCCAGGAGCATCAGCCTCGCGCACACCTCCCACCTCCCCGGCCGCTGCCCTGCATTTCCCGGACCCGCAGCTGCGGGGGGAGAATGGCTGTGACCCACGGCCCCCCGAGGGCCCCTCTGCCGACAGGCTGGCGGTAACGGAACCTCTCGGGCACAGTCTGACTGAGCCTCAGGGTGGCCTGGTGACATCAGGACAGAGATCAGGAAAGTTGGGGGCAGGAGGAGCCCAGAGGGGCGGGGGGTCCCTGGGGTCCCGCAGGGCAAAGTGGCTGAGCAGCAGGTGACGTCGTCTTCGTGTGAGAACACCATCTTAGCCGGGACACACACACACACACACACACACACACACACACACACACAGTGCTCCTGTTAACACGATCGCCTCCGCCCCTCCCCTGGGCACAGGCAGCCCCTTTCCTGGGAAACCGCATCGCTCCGGGGGCAGGACACAGAGCTGGGCCTCAAGTGGGTCCCCAACACGAGAACCCCCGCCCCCCTCCCCCCCCCGATGCCCTTTGAGGAGCTGAGACCTCCCTGGCTGTGTGGACTCCTCCCTTCCTTGGCCCATGGTCCTCTGGCCGCTGCAGCCCCATCGCTCTGCTTCCATCACTCTCTGCCCCTCCTCTGGCCTTCAGGCCCGATCTGCTGAGTCTCTAGACCTGAAGGCAGAGGCCGCCTCTGCACCACAGGCCGCGGCCCAGGCAGCGCACGGAAGGCGCCACATGCCACCTGGCTTCTGCTTCGTGCTCTCTTCTTTCGTGTGCCTGGCAAACTCCTATTCATCCTACAAAACCCGTCATCCGTTCACCCACCCTGCACGGACCCACCCACCCATCCACGCCTTTGCTCCTTCATAAAAGCATCCCGGGGCTGCCAGGTTCTGTGCCAGGTTTTGAAAAGGCAGGCGTGAGTGAGAGACTCACAGCCCCTGCCTTCTCGGAGCCCCCCTCCAGCTGGAGGGCGCGGGGTCGCTATGGAACACCTGGCCGGGACACCCCACAGGCCAGTGCTCCGGCCTCCGTTGCTCTGGAAACCCTCCTCCTTGCAGGTGGTGCTGGCTGTGCTCCCGTGGGGATCGGCCTCACAGTGTCCCCCCCAGACGTCCATGCCCTGATCCCTGAAACCCGTGAGGAGGTCACGCCACGTGGACCAGGCGGTGCTGAGGAGGCCGTGACTGAGACTCAGAGAGGCCCTGGCTGACCAGGTGCCCATCAGCGGAGCCCTGAGAGCAGAGTCTCTGCAGCCGGCGCCAGAGGCCAGGTGGAAGCAGGCAGGGCGTCCCAGGTGCAGCGGGGCCTGCAGCCCCGGATGTGGGGGCCACGTGTGTGGAGCAGAGAGAGGCCTCCAGGCGGCCAGGGGACCCCCATTAACAGCCACGAGGAAACAGGACCCTGTTCTCCGAGGCAGGGCTGCTGCCTGGAGCGCCCCCCGGAGCCCGAGATCATGCCCGGCCCGCCCACCCCTGGGTGCTGCCACGTGGGTCCCGGGGAAGCAGAAGCAGCGCCCAGGCGTCTGACCCGGAACCGCGAGTCCTCGGCCTCCCCCGTGGTTGCCTGGCTTCCGGCTCCCTCACTGCGCCTCCTGGGGTCACCGCCCATACACCACCCACCTCCGGACCTGCAGCCGGGGCCACTTCGGGAGGACCCCAAGGTACGGGGGAGAGGGGGTGCGGTGTCAGGGCTGTGGGCGCCCCGGAGCTAGGAACGAAGCCAGGGCCACGCCCACGCGCGTGCCCGGTGCCAGGCCCTGGCCGGGCGTGCACAGCAGGAGACCCTACAGGCCAGTCCGAGGCCCGGAGAGAACTGTGGCGTGGGGCCGAGTGTGCCAGTGGGGCCTCACCTCTGGTGGACACCTTCGGCTGCTTCCCGAGTTCCCCCCGCCGCCTCGCCCTCCGGCGGAGGGTCGCCGAGTTCCTGCTTCTTCCGCAGCTTGTAACTGTCCCTTCTCTCGCCTGGAACGGGAACACACAGCGGTCAGAGACGTGTGGGAGGGATCAACTCTGTGCCAGGCCAGGGGGAAAGGAGGGGGTGCTGGCAGAGCACCAGTGACTCCCCTCGCCCTCCCCCATCTGCTCCAGGGGCCCAGAGTCAAGCCAGTGGCCACTCAGTGGGCCTCTGATGACCCAGGTCCCGGGGACAGAGCCCACCCACTCCATCTCACTGCTCTAGTCCGATGCTCAGACTCTTAACGCCCTGCGTGCATACGCTTCTCTAAGTGCCTTTTCCAATAGCCTTTTAGGGACGAACAGGGGACATATAGGAAACGGAATATTAAAGAGAGAACATTTCCAAAAATGAGATTTGAACTCTCCGAGCTTTCCAGCTCCTGGCTGCGGGGTGCTGACAACCAATCCCAGCGTGTAATAGTCACAAGTTTTACCGAAAGGCTGGTGAAGCGTGGGGAGCTCAGCGGGGCGGAGCCACACGTAGTTTACCTGTCGGAAACGGCTAAGGCACTTCCCCTAAACCTGAATAGGATGATTGTCTGCTGCCAGACAGCTCGGGGCGTTTTACTGCCTCCTGTTGGCCAAACACCTGAGCAGCTGTAGGCATTCCTTAAACTGACAATCTCTGTAAACCCTTTGATGCCCTACCCTTTGTCGTGTATATCTCCGCCTTGCCTTGGGACAAATTGTGTTTAATAAAAGCATGGGTCCTTGGTCAAGGAGGAGAGTCTTCTAGCTCCTTTGGCTGGAAGCTCCTCTGACCCCCACTGCCTCTCAAAAATATCTTTCGTCCACAGACTCCTTCTTAATCACCTACGCACAGCCCTTTCTCCAGAACCCTTTGTAAGCTGGGGAAAAAGGTCCCTGGCAGCGGGGCTCCCCCAGGCGCATACCCTGCAGGGCCTCCAGGCGCTCCAGCCTGCGCTCTGTGTGGTCCCGCATGGCCCTGCCGACCTGCTGGTCGTACGCCTGCACCAGCCGGCCGACGCCCGTGCTGGTCACGTACACGCTCTCCACGGCCGCCTCCAGCAGCGTCCTCTGTGGGAGGAGGGAGAGGACGTAGCAGGTCACACACGGTCCCCACCTCCCTGGCCCCGGCTCTCATCCTCCTCCCATGCCCAACATGGACCGGACAGGGAGCAGGCAGAGGTGCGTGGTTGGTTTAAACCAGTTGATAACATGGGCTGGTCAAAAGTAGGTTTTCAGTTGTTCGTACAGAAAATCTATCTAAAAGCCTAATATGCCAGTTGTCCCCATGGGAGTTTGGGCAACTGATCGCTAACCACCATTGGTCGCTTAGGGTTTTATATATAAAGATAGAGGCCTAGTGCATGAAAATTCACACACTGGAGCGGGGGGGGGGGAGGGGGTTCCTTCAGCATGGCCTTCCCCCTCTCACAATCCAGGAGCCCTCAGGGGTGAGAGGCAACACCCCCATCACACCTCTGCTGCTGCCACTGCCGGCAGCACAAGCCTCAGCTGGCCCCGGTTACCTGAACCTCAGGTGGCCCTGGGCTGCTGGGCAGCTGACATCCCAGGTTTGCCTGTGCCTCGGGCCGGCCCTGGGCGGCTGGGGGCTGAGGGCGGGTCCGGCCACACCGTCTGCCTGCTGCCCAGATCTGTCCCCTCCTCTGCCCCTGTCCCCCCACCCCAGTCCTCCTTGCCCTCGGTTCCCCAGGGACAGGGCCGGCATGCACCTTGAAGTCCTCCCGGTCCTTGGTCCGGCTCCTGGTGGCGGCGGCCCGCGCGTGCCCCAGCAGTGCCTGCCCCACGGCCCGCTCCGTGTGCTGCTGCAGCAGCCGGCCCACCTCCTGCGCCTCGGCCAGGAGCTGCTGCTGCAGCTGCAGCCGCGTGAGCTGCGCCTCCTCCTCCAGCCGGCCGGTCTCCTCCAGCACGCGGGCCTCCTGGGAGGAGGGGCAGGAGAGGGAGGAGCCACACTGCGGCCCTGCACAGGATCCACAGGACTGGGCTGAAAAGGCTGGGGAAGGGAGGGAGGCGGCCCAGAAAGCGGGGGCCTCTGGGCTTGCAAAACCCAGCACCATGGGTTGGCTAGGTGTCTGTGGACGGTACACTCAACCCAAGGCATTTAGTGAGCACTAACTGTATGCCCAGGGCCATCCGTAGCTTATCATGCACACAAGCACTCCTGCCTTGTCCCTGAACACTGGGAGCCTGAATGTTAGGCGTGAGCAGGACACAGAGGCTCAGAGAGGTTAAGTAACTTTCTAAAAATCACACAGCAGATCCGAGTCTGGGAGGAATCTGGGACATCACCGAAGCCAAAGCAGGGCACTTGAGGGCCTGGGGACGGCTTTCCTCGTGGGAACACGAGTCAGAGAAGGAAGCGAGGGGAATCAGAGCCAGAGTGGCCTGCTTCCCACAGAGCATTCTGGGAAGTGTGAGCCAGAAAACACTAGCTGCTCCCATAGCTCCGTGCCTGCTAAGGCCTGAGCCAGCCTGCTTCGGTACGAGTCCCAGCCAGTAACTTATAGTACCACGTTCTTCCTGCAGATTGCTAAACCCTTCTGCTGACAGGGCCCCTCCCTTCAACCAGGGATGGCTATGCCCATCTGCGCTCTGATTCCAAACGCATTTCCAGTACAATTCTCATTCGAGCATGCACTGGAGCCTCTGGGCCGCCCCCCTGGCCCCCCTGACAGGGCGGCCATCCTCCCCCGGCCGCCCCCCGAGACCACGGGGAGCAGGGCTGGGGTTCTGGCTACCATGCTGGAGCCGGGCAGCCATCTCACCAGGGCTCCGAGCAGCTGCCACTGGTGCTCGTCCAGGCACTGGGAGGAGCCCTGCTCCAGGGCGTGCTGCTCACGCAGCTCCTGCAGCAGGCGCTTCTTGCCAGACAGCCTCATCTGCGCCAGCGCGGCGACGCTGTGGCCGCGGAGAGCCAGCCTCCGGAGGGTGGAGCCCAGCAGCAGCTCGTGGCCCTGCAGGATGCCCCGCGCAGACCTGGGGGGGGAGCAGAGCGGGCGGGGCGGGGTCAGTGCTCGGCTCCTCTGCCTGGGATGGTCACTGTCCGGTATCAGCTGCTCAGACATTCTCTGGGTGTTCCCGGGGGAGATCAACACTGACGTGCCAGACGAGGACAGCAGACTGCCCTCCCTCATACCGGTGGGCCCTGTCTAACCAGCTGAGTGCTTGGAGCAGAGAGAAGGCCCATGACCGAGCGGGCACTGCCCGTCTGCCCGCCCTGAGCTGGGACACCACCCTCCCCTGCCTTTGGGTTCAGACCGAGATACTGCCTCTTCCTGGGTCTGGAGCCGGCGCTTTCTGACTGGGGCTGACGCCACCGGCTCCCCTGGTTCTAGACCTTCTGACGCGGGACGGGGATGCACGTGGGCTCTCCCCAGACTCCAGGCTGCCAACCCGCAGATATCGCAACCTCACAGCTGCTCTCTCTTCTCCTCCTGTCTCTACAGGTGTAGATCCACAGATACCTAGAGAGCTAGACACACACACACACACCCCTCCTTCTGTCTCTTCAGCTGTAGATGCACAGACACCTAGAGAGCTAGATACACATGTGTACATACACACACACACACGCACACACACACACACACACACATACACACACCCCTCCTTCTGTCTCTACAGCTGTAGATGCACAGACACCTAGAGAGTTAGACACAAATGTATACATACCCCCCCACACACACACATACCCCTCCTTCTGTCTCTACAGCTGTAGATGCACAGACACCTAGAGAGTTAGACACAAATGTATACATACCCACACACACACACACACACATATACACACACCCCTCCTTCTGTCTCTACAGCTGTAGATGCACAGACACCTAGAGAGTTAGACACAAATGTATACATACCCACACACACACACACATACCCCTCCTTCTGTCTCTACAGCTGTAGATGCACAGACACCTAGAGAGTTAGACACAAATGTATACATACCCACACACACACACACACACACACACACACATACACACACCCCTCCTTCTGTCTCTACAGCTGTAGATGCACAGACACGTAGACAGCTAGACACACACACACACACACACATATACACACACCCCTCCTTCTGTCTTTTCAGCTATAGATGCAGACACCTAGAGAGCTAGACACACATGTGTACATACACACACACACACACACACACACACATACACACACCCCTCCTTCTGTCTCTACAGCTGTAGATGCACAGACACACAGACAGCAGGACACACACACACACACCCCTCGTTGGCCCTGCTTCTGGGGAGAGCCCTAGTACACTGAGCTACCAAGAAACGCCCCAACAGTCACACCGCCCTGTAAGAGGCGGGCGTCCATGTGCCCACCGTACGCGTGCGGACTGGTGTGGGGTCCCGCGGAGACAAGGCCCGCCCCCCGGAAGCCGTACTCACTCTTCACTGAGGCCCCCGAGCCGGCCCAGCACGCAGCGGACGGCGCTCTGGTGGTGGTCCCGCAGGTGTGCCTGCAGCACGGCGGACAGGGCGAGCTCCTCGGTCCACACCTGGACGCCAGGCAGAGGGACAGGGTCACCGGGCTCCGCTCACCGTTGTGGCTTCGCTGGAACCTGCCTTTTATGTCTTGTTTAAAACCCTCTCCCCTCATTTCATAAACATTCTCTCTTAGAGTTCCTTGTGAAGCCTTACACAGTTTCCTATTTGCAGGGTAAAGCATTTAGCACTAGTTTTCTATGGCGTGAGCAAGGGATTTAGTGTTGTCTGGATAGATGGATACCCATTGTGCCAACACCTTTGTTAGCGTTTATCTTTCTACTAGAGGCCCGGTGCATGACAATTCATACACTGGAGGGGGGTCCCTCAGCCCGGCCTGCCCCCTCTCACAGTCTGGGAGCCCTCAGGGGTGGGAGATGACCTGGCAATCAGGAGAAGGCGATGCCCATCACACCTCTGCTGCTGCCACTATTGGCAGCACAAGCCTCGGCCAGCCCTGGTTACCTGAGCCTCAGGCGGCCCTGGGTAGCTGGGGGACTGAGGGGCCTGGGGCACTCCAGAGGCAGGCAGAGCAGCCGGGCCCGCCTGGGGACAGGCCCAGTTTTGCCATGTGCCTGCTGCCTTGGTGGGGCTGAGGGGACTGGGTGCCCCATCCCTAAGGGTGGCTGTGGGTGCCACCATCCCTAAGGGTGTGGCAGTCAATTAGCATATCGCCCACCTTATTGGCTGTGGGCACCGCCATCTTTGCGATGGTGTGAGGGTCAATTAGCATATTCCCTCTTTATTGGATAGGATGACTGGCTGTCATGGCACCTTGGATCACATTAGTTTCCATAGACGCATACTATGTTCTTGTATCCTGTGGTCGGTTCATTTCTGCACCACACCACTTGCTTCTCAGCTGCCACTCACAGCAAACCTCCTGGCAGCCGGGGCAGGGCTCCCATGCTCTCATGCACTAGCTATGCTTGGTTGTCCTTCCTTCCCTACCGATGTTAGCAAGCTTTGGAAAATGGCTTTTCCCCCTGGGTGTTCCTGCCATTTGATTGGATTACATCTGTGAAAACTCCTGAGGCCCGAGGCCCCGTAGCGAATACGTTTAAGGAGTGGGGCAGGGACTGCATGTAGGCCCGGCTTTCTCTAAAGACAAGTCCTCTCTGGCCTGCCGTGCTCCTCCCCGAGGAGTCTGGGCCTCAGTACACCGCCCAGGCGCCCAGGCGGGGTCTCCGCCATGAAGGCCAGGCCTTCCCTTCTCCAGCCTCTGTGGCTGCCCCAGGGGCGCTACCCTCAGCCGCCTGAAGAGGGCGCCCGCTGCACACAGAACTCCGGTAGAACACAGAGCCGCATCAAGCACTGCAGCCAGGCTTCATCCTGGGCGTTGTGATTGGTAACACTTAATGTCACACAATCGCCCTGGTCCCCTGCTGAGGTCAGTCTCCGGCTCCTCCTGTGAAGAGTCCGCAGGAACAAAGTGCCTGGGGAACCAGAACACAGACAATGCTGGGCTTCCCTGACCCCACTGTGGGCTGAGGTGAAGCACTGACCACCAGGATCCTGGTCAAGACCCCTCCCCCTTTCCCCAGGGCACCAGGAGGTGCTCAGGGGCTAAACTCTCCTTATTGCCCCTAAGGTTCAGCAAGAGCGGACCCTCGGCCTGCCCCCAGACACCGCACCTGCTGTTCCCGCTCCAGGAGGTCCTGGGTCAGCCTCCACTGCTGCCCGCGGAAGCGGTCCGCGCGCCCCAGCTGCAGGGCGGCGTCCTCCTGGGCCTCCTGCCGCACCGAGTCGCACTGCGCCCGCGAGAGGCCCGCCATGCCCGGGAGCGTCTGCAGGAACAGGCCGTCCATCAGCGTCTGGAACGTCTCCATGGTGCCGCGGTACAGCTCCTGCAACCGAGAGCCACACGCCGGTGCCCGTCAGACCACAGTCGCCCAGGGAACTGGAGCGCAGGACTGGACTCGGAAGTTTTCGTATTTTTGGGAACCTACTGCTCCCTATCTGAGTCGCCGAGGTGTGAACCCCCGGAGCATGCCGCCTTACAGGGACCAAGAGACTCTGCAGACGCACGTGAACAGGAGAGTCCGATGGGAGCACTGGGCCGGCCCCGGCAGGAAGTGAGGTGAGAGGAGACGGGATGGCGGCACTGAGGCGGGAGCACCAGGTCTCCGGCTCTGGCCCAGAGGAGAGGCCACGAGCCCAGGCCTGGGGGCACCCCAGCAGCCAGAAAAGTCAGGGGACAGATTCTCCCGTGGAACCTCCAGCAGGAGCCCAGCCCGCCGGCACCTTCCTTCCAGCCAGCGATGCCCCCTCGGGACGCCCCCTCAGGACTGCAATGTAATGATTGTGGTTTAGCCGCTGAGTTCTGCTCATTTGCCCCGCAGCCATCGGACCCACCGCGAGCCTTGGGGATGCCGAAAGGGCAGGTGCGCGCTCCCTCCTCCATCCCCTCGTTAGTTCATGCATCCGTTTGACTGACTGCCCGCCGTCTCGTCTCCTGCTCAGAGGCCACTTCCCCCTCCGCCATGAGTGTTGGGAGCCTCAGGCCTGACCCCCAGGCTCCCAGTGAAGTTCCCTTAAACCAGTGGTCGGCAAACCACGGCCCTCGAGCCACATGGGGCTCTTTGGCCCCTTGAGTGTGGCTCAGTGTTAGAACCACTTCAAAATAGACCAGCCCAGGCCGAGAACTGGCTTCTGCGCATGGGCCAGGAAGTTTCCATCGCACTGTACGTGCGCGCCTGCCCGCACGAGGTATTTTGTGGAAGAGCCACACTCAAGGGGCCGAAGAACCGCATGTGGCTCGCAGTTTGCCGACCACGGCCTTCAGCAAAACACCTCCACCTGTCGCCGCCCTGGTGGAGAGGGAGCCTGTTTGCCCTGGCTCCCGCGAGGTGACCTCCACGCTCTTGGACAGTCCTCCCGGGTAAGAGGGTCTCAGGCTTGGGCCCCGTCAGGTGGCCTTGACAGTGATGGCATTAGGGTGGGACCTGGCCCACGGGCCATCAGCTCATCCCGCAGAGGGGCTGGGGGTTAAGGCCGGCCACACTGGTGGCTGACCACGTCTAACTGGACGCTGAGCTCCGGGAGCCTCCGTGGTTGGCAGCGGCCAGTGTGATCTCACGGTGCTGCCCGGAGGCCAGTGCTGCCCTCGCCCCCCGTGAGGGTGCTGGAGGCCTCGGACTGGGACCAGGCTGACCCCGGCCTGTAGCTCCCGCTGCAGCCACTGCTGTGGAGAGAGCTCACTCCCCGTTTTAATGGAGGAGACCGAGCTGCTGGCACCAAAGCAGACCGGGCCCAGGTCTCTCCATGGTGCCTCCCGTCTCCCTGCCCCCAGCGCTGCCCCCTGCAGGCCACTGTCTGCCCAGGCCTCGGAGAACAAGGAGTCCCTCTCCACCTCTGGGCTGGGCCAGGATGTTTGTCCTCAGGCACCCTCGGACCCCGAGGGCTCCAGCCCGCCCGCCAGGGGCCACGTACCTGGCAGAGTGCAGCCGCGGCCTCGGCAACCCTGAAGTCCTCCTCCTCCTCCAGGTCTCTGCGCGTCACCCTCTGCCGCTCCAGGACCCCGTGGAAGGCCTGGAGTGAACAGAGGAGCTGAAGGGGCAGACACATGCAGTCTCCCTCCCCCCACATCTCCCACCCGCCCGGCTCTTGGGTCAAAAGGACGTTCACCCTCTGTTTACACACGTGAAAAGTGGCACGGGGTCACGTGGCTTCTCTGGCTTGCAGGCCGAGGCCACGGCAGGGGCCAGCGAGCCTGGACCCCCGGAGAGCCACGGACTGAGCTTATGTCCATCCAGGAGGAGGCGGTGCAGGCCGCCCTCCCTGCTCTCCCCCGAACACCGGCCCCCGGCCACCGGCCAGCGCCCTCTGACTTCGCTGCTGACCCTGCCCAGGCCCGGGAGAGCCGCCCAGCGGGGCCCTCGTCACCGTGTGCGGACCAGGAGCCAGGGTGCAGGCTCAGAGCACTCGGCCGAGAAGCGCCCCCTCTGCTGGCTGCCCGGCCAGCGGGGTCGCGCACAGGGTCACCTGGAGGAGCTCCTGGGGGTTGGCGGTCGGTGGCACCTCCGCCAGGAAGGCCCTGCGCTCCTCCTCCTGGGCCTGCGTGAGCCGCGCCGTGCCCTCCGCCTGGCGGGCCTGTGACGCCTGGACCAGCTCCTTGCCTCGCTGCACGAACTCTGAAAGGGAAAGCGGCCAGGACCTCACAGGCGGCTCAGGCAGAGCCTTCCTGCTGCTTCCGCCAGCACCAGGAGGGGGCGCCACAGAGGGGCGAACCCGGCTTATTTTAGTTTCATTATTCGGGCACACCTGCTCCCAAAGGCCAGCATCGGGAGCCGGGTCCTCCGAGCCCAAGACCTGAAGGGACTTTCCCATTGCTTTTTGGAGACAGCGGGAGGGAGGGGGCAGCGAGAGAGGCCTAAGAGGAGATGTGAGCGCCCGCTCTGTGCCACGTCCTGCAGGCCGGGAGTGGAAGCCCCGGAATCCAAATCTAGGCACATGGAGTTGGACTTCCAGCTTCCAGAACTCATGTCTGCGGTCCGGGCCCCCGTGGCAGCATCTGTCACCGTGGCCCGAGCTCAGACCCCTGGCGGCCCGCTGGTCCTACAGGACCCAGGCCGGCGTGGGGGCCAGAACCCGCTGGGGGACTCCCTGGCACACAGGTGCCCTACGGACGCCCCGACGAGACCGCGGGGCCGGGCACACGCAGCCTTGGATCAGCGCCAGCGGCCTCTCGCCCAGGCTGTGAGGCAGCGGGCACGGAGGGCCACCCGCCCTGCAGGCAGAGGACCAGACTGCTTCCTGCCGCCCCACCAAAGGTCAGCCCTCACCGGCCACGTCCCAGGCAGTCCAGCAAGGCGTGTGTGTGTGTGTGTGTGTGTGTGTGTGTGTGTGAGGGGGGGGGGCCATGGCGGGTGCCCTCTCCTGCCTCGCACACCCCACCCAGCATCTCGGGGCCTGAGGCTGGTGCCGGGCGGCGGGCACTGGGCACCTCCGCCCTCCTGCTCTCTGCACGTTCCTGGTGGCTCGGCCGAGAGACCCTGGGGTCTCCGTGAGCCGGAACCACCGATGAGGAAATGGAGGAGGGGAGCGGGCCAGCGAGGCAGCCCCATTTACCCTGTCTCTGGGGAAGGCACGCGAGCGCAGAGCATCTCAGGGACTGGTCCTCGAGGGCAGGACCCCAGCCCGGCCCCCCCCACAGGCCCCTGGAAGCCGCTCACCCCTGCCGAAGCGCTCGGCCTCCTCCCAGAAGGCCTTGTGCTGCTGGGTCAGCAGCTCCTCCTTCTGCCGCGCGGACAGCCGGCCCCGGGCGGCCAGCAGGTCCAGGCTGCGGGAGATGGCGGCCAGCCGGCACTTGGTCTCCTCCTGCATCTGCAGCCGCAGGAACTCGACCATCTTCGCCAGGCGCACCCGGCCCATCGTCCTGTCCAGCAGGTCCTGCGGGGAGGGACCAGGCGTCAGGCTGGGCCGTCCCGGGGCGGCGTTCGGCCACCGGCTGCGTCCAGGCACCCACCTCACTGCACACCGAGCAGAGGGAGAAGCTCCCCTCCGAGCCGCCCCTGTCTGCCTCTCAGCCAGGGACCCCGGGGTCCCCCGTGGGGACGCAGCGGACACGGACAGCACCCGCAAAGCGCTGTGCATCCTGCGTGCTCCCCAGAGTCGCTCTTCTGGGAAGGAGCTCAGTGCACACCTACGACCAGGAGGAGAGCTGCCTTCCTCACAGCCACGCCTCCCGCAGCCCCTGTAGCCCTGGCTGGGGCCACCACCACTGGGACAGCCCGGGGAGAGTCAAGGTCACAGGAGCCAGGGCTTCTGTGCTCAGAGCCCAGGTGCTGGGACTCGGAGACCTTGGGGTGATGCCAGCGTCAGACCTTAGAACCGGACCTCATCTCGTCCTGCCACATGGTTACTCAGAGCAGGACTCCTGGGAAGACACCCACCCCACACCCCACTTCACACCCCACACACCACACCCCTCACCCCTCACCCCACACCCCACTTCACACCCCACACCCCACACCCCACACCCCTCACCCCTCACCCCACACCCCACTTCACACCCACACCCCTCACCCCACTTCACACCCCACTTCACACCCCTCACCCCACACCCCACACCCCTCACCCCTCACCCCACACCCCACACCCCACACCCACGCAGGAAATGAGGCCTAAGGGACGGGGCCTGCAGGCCGCCTCGCTGGGCCTTCTGTCCCAGAGCAGATGCTCACTGCTGGCGGCTGGCGAAGGAGAGTGAGGATGCCAGAGGAGTGGCGACAACACGCTGGCCACGTGGACCATGTGAGCTGCAGGCCTGCGTCCTTCCCCACCTCGCCAGAGCGTTACCTGTCACCTGGCTCGGCCCACGTTATCCCGGCCCCTTCCCGCCGACCGATTCCCTTCCCACTGACCCACCATCACCTCTGCGCTGGGACCGCGCCTGGTCTCCCAGCCTCCTCCCCTCCATCCCACCCCCCCGGCCCCCCACACTCGACCCCACACAGCATCGGGCCTTTCTGAGATGCAGACGTGGCTCCTGAGTCCCCCAGCCCAAACCCTCTCGTCACTGCCCCCGACCGCGTCCTAACTCCCAAGCACGGAGCTCCCCATCCACCACAGACGGTGTTTAACGGGGCGATCTCTACAGCACTAGAGCTTCCTGGTTGCCCCTCTGTGGAAACCCCTCCTGGGCCCGCCTGCCCCGCCGCCCGCCTTACCAGCGCCTGCAGGTCCTGGGAGTCCCGCAGCAGCCCCTCCGCGGTGGCCATTCTGGCCGTCAGCGCCGCCCCCAGCTGGCGCGCTCGGGCGCTGGGGCACTTGAACTGGTCCACGAGGCAGCGCTGGACGCCCTCCAGCTGCCTCCAGAAGGCGTCCATCTGGGAAGAGGAGGGGGGAGACCTGGTTAGAGAGCTGTAACCCAGACGGCTCAGGCCCACAGGGTCAGGCGCGGGCACTGCAACCCACTGCTCATCAGCCCGAGATCCCGAACGGGTTACCCCTCGGAGCACGGCCGCCTCTCAGCGATCACACTCCAGCGCCCTGGCTCTCCGCCTGCCTGAGGCCGCACCCCTTCAATGCAGCTCCTCGTGTGGTGGTGACCCCAGCCATAAAGTTAGTCTCGTTGCTACTTCCTAACTGTCATTTTGCTGCTGTTATGAATTGTGATGTAAATATCTGTGTTTCCCGATGGTCTTAGGTGACCCTGCTAGCGGTTCTCAGCCTGCTCAGCTCCAGGCTCAGCGTCAGCTCCCTCAGCCTCTGCCCGCTCCTCCGCTCCCTGCTGCCTCCCCTGCGCCCACCCCGAGGGCTGCACCACGCCTCCCCCAGGAGCCTCTCTGGGCCCTTTCTTCCCGGAAACCTTTCCTAACCCGGGGTGAGACGGCTCCTCTCTCCCCTGCGCCTCAGCGCTCCTGCGTCCCCGTCTGTCACACCAGAAACCCAGAGATCCTCATCTGCTCACCTGTCATTGCCCCCCCCCCCGAAAAAACACCCCGCCCCCCGCTGGCCTGGCATCTCTCTGCAGGGCCACGTCTAAGCCCACCGGACTCCCTGTCGCCAGCACAGCACCTGTGTGTGTAAGACATAACGCCCGAACAAAAACAAAAAGAGAGAAACATCTGAAGGAAGCCCTCCTCTCAAGGACTTGGGACCTGCTTTTAGGAGAGATGCCCAGGGGGTGAGGAGCTGGCAGCAGCACCCTGCACCCACAGGGCAAGCGCAACCTCTGCTCTGAATGAAGGTGGATCTGAAGCGTCAGCCAGGGGGACTGGCTACAACAATAAAGCACCTCCCTCTGGAAACCCTGGCCCTTCCTGACACCTTCTCATCGCTCAATGTGGAGGCGGATCCCTGCCGCCAGGCAGACCCAGCAGGGATCCCGGCATTAAACACGGTTCTAGGCGCATCCACCCGCTCCTCTCCCCGGCGGGACTGTCCCGAAACCACGGCCTTCACGCAGGAAAACGCCCGCCACGCGCGTACGTTCTCGATCAGCAGCTCCGCGTACTCCCTCTCCTTCTTCTCCACGTCGCCCAGCGTGGCGTACTGGGACTCGCCGGCGCCCAGCGCCTCCGTGTCTGACAGCCTGCCCCCGAGTCCCTTTTCCAATTCCTCCAAATCCTGCAAAGGTGAAGGAAGGAAACAAAGAACACGGGGGTGTGTTTTACATTCTGGAGAGAGAAAAGCTTTTGTAACGCTATCTTCCAATCCTTCTGCAGCCCTGGGAGATCGTATATTTAAAAACACCCCGAGCCTGAACAGAAGTCACGTCCACAGTGACTCTCGTGGACAGAGAACATGACTGACATTCCACTCGCTTCTCTGCCTCCGATATTTTCCCCCTTTTAGTCCACACTGTGATTTTTACATCTGTACTCATGTCTGTATCTATTATGTTAAAAGTGTATCTATATATATATAAAAGCCTGAGTGACCATCCAACAGGGTAGTAGCTATGATGAGCACTGATCACCAGGGGGCAGACGCTCAACGCAGGAGCTGCAGAGCTGCAGTGACTTGCAGCGGTGGTTCTCGGGTGATGTACCCAGAACAGAGAGGAGGGAGCCCGATTCCGAAGTCTCGGACCCCTTGGGGGATGTCGGAGAGCCGGTTTCAGCCGGTCCCCTGCAGGCCAGGCTGAGGGACCCCACTGGTGCACGAATCTGTGCACCAGGCCCCTAGTATTGTAGAAAGCTATTGTCCATGTTGTAATAAGCTATTGTCCAGTTACCTGGAAATACAGATTGAGGACTTACATTTTCTTGTTTTGAAAGAATCTTCTGGTAGAATTCGTCATCAGGCTTCTTTCTCGGAAGGAGGTCAAGGAGGCACATTTTAAAAATCTGAATAAACATCTATTGCCAAAGAAGGGAACATAACAGAAATGATGATTTAAACAACAGTATCTTCCTCCCTCCTATCCTTCCCCCCTTCTCCTGCTTCTCTCTGTCTCTTTCTGTTTGTCTCTCTCTCTCTGTCTCTGTCTATCTCTGTCCTTTTCTCTGTCTCTCTCAGTGTCTGTCTCTTTTTCGCTGTCTCTCTCTTTCTCTTTCTGTCTCCCACCCCCTCCTTCTCTGGGTAAAAGGAAGCTGGTGCCCTCCCGCCGGCTGGCGCTGCCTTCCCATCCTGGGCTCTCTTCCTATGGTGGCTCTCCCTCCCCACACCCCCTCTCGGGGGTCCCGGCACACAGAGCCCGGTGGTTCCTGAGCCCTCAGGGCTCCACGCCGCCTCACCACCTACCAAGTGCCGGTCCTGCCTCAGTGCCGCGTCCAGCTGGAGCAGATCTTTCAGGTGGAGGTTATAGATGCACAGGTCGAGGTCGGCACTGCAACGTGGAGAGGGGGGTGGGGAGAGGCCTGTGAGTGTCTGAGGGGGGGAGGGAGGTGACAGACAGGGCGTCCCTACTCAGTACAAGCCACGCGGGTCCTGGCTCCAGACTTTACGTCCGCAGCGCGCAGCGATTCCCACCAGCCTCACGGTGTAGGAGAAGGAGTTACAGCTCTCTGCGGCCCACTCGTGACCAGAGGGGACTGCGGCCCGGACGTCCAGGACAAAAGCAGAGGAGACGGCAGGTGGGAGAAGTGACGGCATCGCGTGCACCTTCCTGAGCTCAGGCAGACAGCCTGTGCCCACCTGACAGGGGAGGACACGGGCGCAGGAAACCCAGGGCCGGAGAGATCCGTGTTGGTCACGGTCGCGGGGCAGGGAGAGGCAGGGTGAGGTGAAGGCTCTCCCCTTTCCTCCCACACAGCCAAATGCCTTCCACACGGCTGACCCTGGACGGTGGGCCATCCCCTAAGTCCAAGCTCAGAAACAGCCTTTCCCAGCGAGGAAAGGGGCTCCAGTCCAGCCAGTCCCTCCCGCCGGGGGCCACCCGCGGGGTCCTCCCAAGCTCCGGCTCTGAGCCCACTCATGCCACAGCCCGGGGCCGTGCCCGGGGTCCCTCGAGCTCACTGAACTTCGAGCAGACAGGCCCGAGGACCGGCCCACACCCCCCGACCCCACAACTGAGTTTCAGCACCGACCACGAGCTGAGCCCTGCTCCGGGCTGGACAGTTTGAAGATTCTGAGCTTGGGCTTTGGAGGTAAGAGGGTGAGGTCAAATCTGGTCCCATCACCACCCGCTCTGTGGCCCTGGGCAGGTCACTCAGCCTCTCTGAGACGCACTTTATTATTTTTTTTTAATTTACATATTTTTATTGACTTCAGAGAGGAAGGGAGAGGGAGAGAGAGGTAGAAACATCAAGAATGAGAGAGAATCACTGATCGGCCGGTGTGGCTCAGTGGTGGAGCACCTACCTAGGAACCGAGAGGTCATGGTTTGATTCCTGGGGTCGGAGCACATTTGCTTCATAAAACGGGGACCAAGCTAGCCCTAGCTGATAAGGTTGGCAGGAGGAATCAGTTCACTGGCTGATAAACAGGTGCCCATCACTGCACCTGTCCCAGGCTCCCTCCCGCCGGCGGAGGAGACAGGGCAGGGGACAGGACGGACCTGACCCTCATGCTCATGCAGTAAGCACTCCTAGCAAACTGCTCGGTGCTCGGCCCAGCACCCGGAAGGCGCCTACTCAGCGCTAGCTGCGATGCCACGCCCAGGGCACGCCGCTGATGCACCGAGGGTCCCCTGAGGTTTCTCCGAGGCTGAAGCCTGACCCCATAACCCTTACGAGGTCAATACCACATGGCAAGCGACAGAGGGAGACAGGTCCCACTCTGACCCGGGGCGGCTGTGTGTCCCTGGCTGAGTTGCTTAACCTCTCTGGGCCCCCGTTCTCCGTTTTCCTCCCCTGACAACGACACGCCTCGTGGGCCTGCGCCCTCCGCCCGCCCTCCTCACCTCTCGCAGGTCAGGGCCTCGGGGAAGCTGTGGACGCGGAGGAAGGTGCGGCCGAGGAACCGGTCGTCACTGGCGGCCGAGTGGATGCTGGATGAGGAGCTGCACTCCTCCTTCTCGGCCTGGCTCAGGCTGCCCAGGCTGCTGCAGGGCGACGCCTCGGCCGGCTGGTTGGGCAAAACCACCTGCTTCAAGTTTTCGTGCAGCGAGGGGTTGGAGGAGCCGTCGGCCAGAGGCTGGGGCGGCAGAGGACAAAGGGGACTCAGTGCACGTGACCATCAGGGGACCGACGCGGGATGAACCCAAGGCCTGCATCCCGGGGAGGCGGGAGGGGGGTGGCCGGCCCTGCCACTTTCAGCAGCGACCTCGGGCGCCGGGGGCCCCTCTGGGCCTCCGTTTCCTCCGTGTGAGGTGGAGCCAAGCGGTATGTGTCTCACTGGAGCACGTGAGGCTGGAATGCCGGATGCATGACCAACGCCTAGCACAGCGCCGGCCGCACCGTGAGTGTCCAGGAGTGTGGCTGCTGGCGAGAGCCTCAGGGTCTGGGAAGGAGATGCTGGGAGCTGTGTCCGTGTCGCTATTTGTTCTAGTGTCACTCCATCAGGGTGGGTGCTGTCCCTGGTGTCCCGGGGTGCCACACGCCACGGTGATTCCTTACCTCGACCACCAGGCACCCCCGGCCCTGGCCACACTGCCATCAAACCCCTAAGTGCTGCTCGGTGACAAAGCCTCAGGCTTTTCCCTGTTACAACGGCTGCCACCAACCCTCAAACCCTGAACTGCACATCGAGCCCCACCTCCCCACCCCGAGCTCCAGGGCGCTGCTGAGTAACGGGGTCCCCGGACGGGGCGCAGGCGTCTCACCCGGAACTTCTGGTTGATGGGGTAGACGACCTTCGCCTTCAGTGCGAACGCCGTGACGTTGCTGCTGACGGACGGCTCGCGCTCCTGGGAAGAAGGACAAATGCCGTGTGACTTCACAGGCCTGGCTGACATGCGAGAGGAGACACACTTGCTGAGAATTCCACGCGAAAGCAGCGAGGGCGCGGCCCCTTGAACCTCCCCACGCCGAGTGAGAGAAGGGCAGAAGAGGTGACAGTGAGAGGAAGGCCCGGCCCCTGCCCTCCGGGGTTCGTCTTCCACAGGGAGGCACGAAGCAAAAGCTGCGCTTCCTGAGAAAAGCATGGCTCGGCTGCTGTGGCTCAGGGGTTGAGCATCGGCCTAGGAACCAGGAGGTCGAGGTTCGATTCCCGGTCAGGGCACCCAGGCCCAGGCTGCAGGCTCGATCCCCAGGGTGGGGCATGCAGGAGGCAGCCGATTCATGCTTCTCTCTCATCATGGATGACTCTCTCTCTCTCTCTCCTTCTCTCCCATCCTCACTGAAGTCAATAAAAACAGCAACCCATGTTCTGAGAAGAGGATGGAGGGGCTGGGCCACCGGACACCTACAGGAGCAGGACCTGAGGGCGGGGCGCCCCGGCCTGTGCAGGAGAACGCAGGCCCAGCTGATGGTCACCCCAGCCACGCGGGAGGCCTGAGACGGCTGTGGCTCTTCCGGCCTGTCCCCTGGGGTGCGCCACCCCCTCGGGGCAGGCCCAGGGCTGGTCCTGGTGCCTGTCAGCGGACGGACGGACAGACGGACGGACGGAGGACCGGAGGCCTCAGCACGGCCCGGGGCAGGGCACGGGCGTCCGCGGCCTGCAGGGCCCGGCTGTATGTGGTTTTCAGGACTCCACAGTTCAGGGCGCCCCCTAGCTCTGACAACCTCCCAGGCGCAGCCACGTGGAGATTCAGGGACCTGGAAGCAGGGCAAATTTCCATGTAAACCTTCTTCCGCCGAAGCAAGCCCATCATCCGGGAAATCAGTGAAAGCACAGCTGAGGGGACGGAGAGGCATCTCACCTACCACCAGGCCAGGACGCAGGGGAGCGAGCTGGGGCTGGGCCCGGGGCCCAGGGGCCCGTGTGTGTGTGTGTGTGTGTGTGTGTGTGTGTGTGTGTGGCTGACGTGCTCTGTTTCTCCAGAGCTCCCACCAGGGGTGGCGGGAGGCAAGCGTGCCTCGGTCTCCGTGCCTCAGAGGACACGGGGTCAGAGGGGGACGCGCCCTGTCACAGTCAGTCCCCTGCCCCGTCTCGGAGGCCCTGTCTGCAGGGGCATCCGGGCCAGCCAGTCCCCGGAGCGGGCAGATCTTTAACTCAACTCTGGCAATTATTAGCTCAGCACTGCGTGGCCTGGGCACAGCTGCGCAGCTCCCAGGAGAAAACATGCGCGTGCCTCTGGGAGGGGGGAGGCCGCGCTCCCTGCACACGCTGCTCCGGCCCTTACTCCGCGGCAGGAACAAGCCCAGCCGACTCCCGGGACCCCGAGGAGCCGAGGATCACGGTCATCGTAAAGCCGAGAACCCAGAGGCTCAGGGAGGTTATGTGTCTCTCCCCACATCACACAGCGAACAGGGGGCAGAGCCGGGACTGGGTTCCGGGATCCTGGACCCACCCAGGAAGCGATGCTCCCAGGAGGCTTGGGCTGGACTGAGTGGGGGGGGGGGGCCCAGGCAGGGGGTTACAGGGAGAATCCAACTTTGAACGTCTCCATCCCAGGACTCCACCTCCTAGAAGTTTATTTCGTTTTTACTTAAAAGAAATAAAGCCAAATGAAAGCAAACAACCTATACACACACATCCACAGAGGCCTTATTCGGAATAGCGGACACCGCTCACGCCACACCGGGCACAGCCCCACACCGGGCACAGCCCCACACCGGGCCACGCGATCACAGCCCCCCGCCGGGCACAGCCCCCCGCCAGGCACAGCCCCATGCCGGGCACAGCCCCACACCGGGCACAGCCCCCGCCGGGCACAGCCCCCGCCGGGCACAGCCCCACGCCGGGCCACGCGATCACAGCCCCCGCCGGGCACAGCCCCACACTGAGCACAGCCCCACGCCGGGCACAGCCCCACGCCGGGCACAGCCCCACACTGAGCACAGCCCCCGCCGGGCACAGCCCCACACCGGGCACAGCCCCACGCCGGGCACAGCCCCACACTGAGCACAGCCCCCGCCGGGCACAGCCCCACGCCGGGCACAGCCCCCGCCGGGCACAGCCCCACACCGGGCACAGCCCCACCCCAGGCACAGCTCCCGCCGGGCACAGCCCCACGCCGGGCACAGCCCCCGCCGGGCACAGCCCCACACCGGGCACAGCCCCACCCCGGGCACAGCTCCCGCCGGGCACAGCCCCACGCCGGGCACAGCCCCACGCCGGGCACAGCCCCCGCCGGGCACAGCCCCACGCCGGGCACAGCCCCCGCCGGGCACAGCCCCACGCCGGGCACAGCCCCGCCGGGCACAGCCCACAGCGGGCACAGCCCCCGCCGAGCACAGCCCCCGCCGGGCACAGCCCCACACCGGGCACAGCCCCACGCCGGGCACAGCCCCACGCCGGGCACAGCCCCACGCCGGGCACAGCCCCCGCCGGGCACAGCCCCACGCCGGGCCACGCGATCACAGCCCCACGCCGGGCACAGCCCCACGCCGGGCCACGCAATCACAGCCCCCCGCCGGGCACAGCCCCCGCCGGGCACAGCCCCACGCCGGGCCACGCAATCACAGCCCCACGCCGGGCACAGCCCCACGCCGGGCCACGCAATCACAGCCCCCCGCCGGGCACAGCCCCCGCCGGGCACAGCCCCACGCCGGGCACAGCCCCCGCCGGGCACAGCCCCCGCCGGGCACAGCCCCACGCCGGGCCACGCAATCACAGCCCCACGCCGGGCACAGCCCCACGCCGGGCCACGCAATCACAGCCCCCCGCCGGGCACAGCCCCCGCCGGGCACAGCCCCACGCCGGGCCACGCGATCACAGCCCCACACCGGGCACAGCCCCACGCCGGGCACAGCCCCACGCCGGGCCACGCGATCACAGCCCCACACCGGGCACAGCCCCACGCCGGGCACAGCCCCACGCCAGGCCACGCGATCACAGGACAAATGGCTAACAGGTGGGAGGATGTGGCTGCATCTCAAAGGTGGGACACGAGGACACGCAGGCACCAGGCCACGTGTGGAAGCCTCGGACCACGGCCAGGGCAGCGCTGGAAATGCGCAGTGGTTGCCTCAGGAGGGGCTGGGGGTGTGGGGATAGGCCGGAAAGGGGTGCAGGGCGCTAGGGAGCTCTCCAGGGGTGCAGCGTCCCTGAATGGGGTACCGGGGTCAAGGGTGTACACAGCTGTCACTCATCAAACTGGAAGCTGAACCCCTTGCCTGTTACTGGGTGTGATGATGCCCCAAAGGAAGCCACTGGCCCTCTCTGTCACAGGCTTGTCTGGAGGTGCCTGTGCGGGCCAGGGAGGGAGGGGGAAGGACGGAGAATGCCCACGTGCCCCTGGCAGGCACCCCACTTACGTCCAGAGCCTCCGCATCCTTGGAGGCCCGCGCACCTCTCTTCCTCCTCCTGGGCGGGGAGCCGGCCTCGGTTGGGGTCTGGGCCCTAGACTCCAGGCTCCTGAGCAGACTCTGGGCGTCGTCTACCTAAAAGCAAAGGTGGGGACAGGTCGGAGTCCGCAGCCCAGGGCCCCGGGAAGGTGCCATCAGTCCCCACACCCAGCGGTCACATCTGCTCAGCTCCGAGCTGACCCTGGCCCCGTGTGCTCTGCCCCCTCTCACTCCCACGTGGGGGCAGCTACATCCTGCCAGGCTGCCCGGCGGCACCCCGAGAAGCCCCGGGACCCCCAGCTCAGCATGTCCTCAGGCCCTGGAGGCAACGCTGGGCCAAAGGGCATCCGCAGTTCCTGGGAACTGCTGAAGGCCACAGCTCAGCTGGAGAAGCGGCGCCTGAATATTCATTTCCTCATCATTCCCGGGGTGACGTTTCAGAAAACGCGTTAGACCGCCTTAAATGCAGAATGGCTTTATTGTGATCGGCAGGTGGCTGCCTTGCTTTGCAGGTCTGTCCTGCTCATCAAGGCAGCTCTAAGACCCCGCAGAGGCTGGCATTAGCGCGGTGCCCCCAAACTTTTCCTGTAGGGGTGCATGAATGAAAACATGAATGAATGCAAGCACAAGTGCAGCCCCAGGCGGCAGCGGGGACTCGGGAGGGACTCACTGGTAAGCATAGAGCAAGGAAGCGAACGGACATCCACGGATGGGGATCCCCAGCCCTCGGGTCCTACGCTGGGCTGGGCCCCTGCCAGCTCTGTCCAACCCCCTGGTGCTACAGATGCAGTCCAGGCGGGAGGACTTGAGCGGTTGTTTACATCCCATGGCAGGCACCGCCTCCAGCATCCTCCCGGTCCCTAAGGGGAGCCCGGAGCCAGGACCAGTTGTTCGAGATCACACTCCAGTGGAATCAGAGCCCTGGCTGGCAGCCCAGGGGCCCGGGAAGACCGCGCCCCGGGCGCCCCCCACTCCGGCTGCCGGCGTGGCCCACCCACCTGGTGCCGGGGCCGCGAGCGCGCGCGGCAGCCCAGCCAGAGGCCGAGGCTCAGGCCGAGCGCGGCGCCCAGCAGCACGGCGGGCGCCAGCAGCGCGGGCTCCGGCCGCACCGCGTCCCGGCCCCGCAGCAGCCGCGCGTCCCTGGCGCAGTCCGCGCCGCCGCGGGCCATCGGGGGCGCTCAGGCCGCGGCCCGGCCGCATCCCGCCGGCCGGCGGGCACCGCTCCGGCCCGCCGCCCGGGGCACCGTCAGCGCCAGGTCGGCGACACCGGACTCGGAGCCCGGAGGCCGGAGCCGAGGCGGGCCGGGGGCTCAGCGCGCTCTCCCGACTCCCGGCCGTGCAGTCTCCTTCGGGTCTTCTTTCCCGGTCCCGGCGCCGCCGGAGCCGGAGGGAGGAGCCTGGATCTTCCGCCCAAAACTTTGAGCCGCCCCCGCCCCAGCGCTGCCTCTGCACTGAGCATGCCCGGAGGAGCTGTTTTGCACTTGGAGAGCTTTGGGGAGGCCCCGGGCCTCCGGATTTCGGCGCGGAGGGGTGCTCGTTGGCAGAGTAGGAGGGTGCAGCTTGGAGAAGTTTACTGGGCGTTTTCAATTCGCCCAGCGTTCCGTCTGAGCATCTCAGGAACTTTCTGGGCACCCCTCGGCGTGGGTGGGATGGGCATTATTGCCCCCGCATCCTCCATCCTCAGGGTGAGGAAGCTCAGAGTGAGAGCCATGTGACTCAGGGCAGGTCTGACTCCAGCCTCTACCTCCACCTCTACCCCCTGGCCACCCTTGGGCCGCACAGGCCACCCCTGCCCCCGAACTTGATCTTAAGATTTGGGTCCCAGCCGAAACCGGTTTGGCTCAGTGGATAGAGCTTCAGATTGCAGACTGAAGGGTCCCGGGTTCGATTCCAGTCAAGGGCATGTGCCTTGGTCGTGGGCACATCCCCAGTAGGGGGTGTGCAAGAGGCAGCTGATCGATGTTTCTCTCTCATCGATGTTCCTCTCTGATTGAGGTTTCTAGCTATCCCTCTCTCTTCCTCTCTGTAAAGAATCAATAAAATACATATATATATTTTAAAAAGATTTGAGTCCCAATGCCTTTTCTTTCTTCTAAGACAGTGTGTTCACTGCTGTGCCCCAGCCCTAGGGCAGGAGCTGGCACGTAGCAGCTGCTCAGCAGATGTTTGCTGCCAGGAAGAGCAAGCTGAACACATCTGGCTGTTTCTCTCCCCGCGGGGGCGGGCGGTGCTCCGTGCCTGACCCTGTCTGGCTCCCTGCTGGCCGGTGCTGGTGGGAGCTGGTCTGCTGTAAGTGCCCAGGGAAGGCATGCCCACCAGCCTCTGGTGTCGCCTGGGGGCTGGGAGGAGCCCTCTTTCTGCAGCTGTCTCGCCCCCTCTGGGCTCCCAGGACACAGGGCATCGCCTGTCCAAAAGCTTCTGGGGGGGGGGGGTGGACTGGGGCGCGCAGGTGGCTGGGCAGAACCTGGTTCCAGCCAGGTGTGGCTTTCCGGAGAAGGTGGTCTCAGCCATGACTCGGAGAGCAATGTGGGCCTTAGTGGGGGGCACTCGGAGCCCCTGGAATCTTGGGGGACGGGGGGTGGGGGGGTGTCCCCGGGTCTGCTGTGGGCAGTGCCTAGCCCCCGGATGGACGTGCGCTCAGCCAAGTGTGGCGCCAGCGCGCCAGCCTGGCCCGCTCCCTCCGCCCCGTCCTGGGCCGGACCGCCTCCCGCTCCCGCCTCCAGCCCCGCCGCCGCCGCCCGCTTCCAGGCAGCTTCCCGGGGGCCCGGGCGCACTGGGCATGCTCGGCGGCGGGGCGGGCCCGGGGCCGGAAGCGCCGAAAACCCGCCGCCCCGCCACTTCGGAGCCGCGGAGCCGGGCGGCGATGGGCCTGGCAGCCTCCCCGGGGCGCGCCGCTTGGATGCTGGCTGGGGGCCTCCTGGCCGCCGCCCTGGCGCTGCGCGCTGTGCCCGGGGTCCGAGGCCGGCTCCCCGGGGGCTCGGGGCCCCTCCAGCATCCCCTGGGCGCGCGGGCGCCCCCGGATCGCCGCGCAGCCCCCGGGGCGGGCCCCGAGCGCGCGGCGCAGGTGAGGGGCTCCCCTTCTGGGGTCTGAGCCGGCGGTGGGCTCCGCGGACCGGGGACTGAGCAGACAGGGAGGCCAGGGGCGATGGGGGGGTTTGGGGAGTTCACGCGCAGAGCGGCTCAGGGAGGGAGCGCCGGCGGCTCAGAGTACAGTTTGGGGATCCCCGGCTGGAGTGCCTGGCCGCGCTCTCCTGGCGGATGGATGTAGCCACTTTCCCTCTCCACCCGCTCCTCCCTCTGCGGTCCCCAAACTGGGGAAGGCACCAAGCCCTGGCTGTCACCCTAGACGGCACCCCTTCACCCCCAAATGGTCACCAGTCCCGCCGCCTTTTCCTCCTGATCAGCTGGGATGTCTGCCCCTCCTGCAGGCGGGTCTGCCCTGGTTTGGTCCCCTCTGGCCTTCCGGGGCTTTTCTCTGGGTCTCCCCAGGACCCCAGATTTGTGCTCTCTCCCCTCCATCTCCCCCAGATCTCTAGGTGGTCTGTCCAGTGAATGCCTCTGACCACTTCCCTCTCCTGTTTACACCGTACGCTCAGAGGTTATGGCAAACCCAGGCCTCTGTTCCCAGGAATGTGGGTTCAGGTGCTATCCCGGCCCTGGGGTCCCCCTGCCCTCCAGGGCCAGCTTCATCCTCAATGACATCCGGTCTAATTAGCATATTACCCTTTTATTATTATAGACTAGAGGCCTGATGCACGAAATTCACACAAGAGTAAGCCTTCGCAGCCATGGCTTCATCTGGAAGGTTGGCCTGATGGTCATTCTGCTGTTCAGCCATTCGGCCGACTTGCATATTATGCTTTTATTATTATAGACTAGTTCCCTGGTGCACAGATTCATGCATATTGAAAGGAAATTAATTAGGCTGAAACCAGTTTGGCTCAGTGGATAGAGCATCAGCCTGCGGACTGAAAGGTCCCGGGTTCGATTCCGGTCAAGGGCATGTACCTTGGTTGCGGGCACATCCCCAGTGGGGGGGGTGCAAGAGGCAGCTAGTCGATGTTTCTCTGTCATCGATGTTTCTAGCTCTCTATCCCTCTCCCTTCCTCTGTAAAAAATCAATAAAATATATTTTTTTAAAAATAAAAGAAGAAGGTGGTCATCAGGGTGGGCCTGAACTAGAAAGGCCGGACACACCCTGGCCTCCATCCTACTCAGAGTCCCTCCCTGGCCGGCCACACCTGGGGTGGCGCTGGGGCTCAAAGGGCATCTGTGGAGTGAGTGGGGTCCCTGGGGCAGGTGGGGTCCCTTGGCCTGGCCTATGGGGATCGGGCTGAAATGGGCCGTCCAACATCCCCCGAGGGGTCCCGAGTGGGAGAGGGCACTCTGCAAAGTTGCTGTTGCTTGGCAATTACTGCTTTGAGCATCTGCCCCCTGGTGGTCAGTGCATGTATACCTACTGGCCAGCTGGCTGGTTGACTGCTCGCTTAGCCTTTTATATACATAGATGTTTATCGATTTCAGAGAAGGGAGAGGAAGATAGAAACATCAATGAGAGAGCCAATCATGGATTGACTGCCTTTTGCATGCTCCCTACCGGGGATCAAGCCCACAAACCAGCCATGTGCTCTGACTGGGAATCAAACCATTACCTGGTTCATAGGTTGATGCTCAACCACCGAGTCACACCGGCCAGGCCAACCTGTGTTTCTTCACTGGTTGTCTGCAGGATGCTGTGTGAGCATCAGAGGACTCTCCAGCCAGGTCCCTGCCTGAGGGGGGATGCCGGCAGGTCACAGAGCCGGGATGGAGGGTGGGGCAGGGGCCTGGGCGGCAAAGGTTGCTGTGCCTGCAGGTGTCTTTGGGACCTGGCTCCTTTGCTGTGCGTCTTCGTGCCCCTGCGCAGCGGGAGGGCTGCGCTCTGGAGACGGGGTGTGCGTTGTGGAAAGATTGTAGGGTGTGGAGTCACACAGGCCGGGGTAGAGTCCCAGCTTCCTGCCTGGGCGACCTTGGGCAGGTGAGCTGGCCTCCATGAGCCTTTGACTCCTCATCTCTAAAATGGGAGAAATAGAATTTGGGGATGGCCTGACCCGTATTGCTCAGTGGGTTGAGCATCGACCTATGAACCAGGTAATGATTTGATTCCCAGTCAGAGTACATGGCTGGTTTGTTGGCTTGATCCCCGGTAGGGAGCATGCAAAAGGCAGCCAATCCATGATCACGGATCAGGAGGTCACGGGTTTGATTCCCGGTCAGGGCCTATGCCCGGGTTGCAGGCTCAATTCCCAGTGAGGGGCGTGCAGGAGGCAGCTGGATAATGCTTCTCTCTCATCATTGATGTTTCTCTCTCTCCCTCTCCCTTCCTCTCTCTGACATCAATAAAAACCTATTTTAAATAAAAAGATTTTGGGTATATAGAGTGCTGGGCATACACCTAGCACTAGGGAAATAACAGCCATTGGTATAGTTACTGACGTCACGAGAGCTGCCCAGTCTGTGGTTCAGAACATGCGGGTAAAGGGCGTGTCCTTACCATGGGGGCCAGGCCCCGGGTCAGGGTTCGGGACATGTGGCAAGGGCAGAGTGAGCACATGGTGAGGATGCGGGGTGGCGGGGGCTGGCGTCCGGTGGGCGAGCCCGGGCCCACCACTGGAATCTCCCAGGAGAGCCAAGGCAGGGCCGGAGGGGGCCAGGCCCGGGCGCCTCTCCGCATGGATGACGGACCCGCTGACGGGAGGCTGCCCGGTGCACGGCGGCCCACGTCACGCCGTCACCGCTGTGTGGGCTGGCGTGCCCCGTCACAGCCAGGAGGCATGAGCAGGCATGAATGCCTCCGGCTGACAGGCCAGCCCTGGTTTGCGGCATCTCTGTGGCAGCAGGTGTCGGGCACCCCAGACCGGGCAAAGCCCGCAGTCTTTTTTTTTTTTCTTTTTTTCTTTTTTTTAATATATTTTTATTGATTTTTTACAGAGAGGAAGAGAGAAGGATAGAGAGCTAGAAACGTCGATGAGAGAGAAACATCGACCAGCTGCCTCTTGCACACCCCCTACCGGGGATGTGTCCGCAACCAACGTACATGCCCCTAACTGGAATCGAACCTGGGACCTTTCAGTCCGCAGACCGATGCTCTATCCACTGAGCCAAACCGGTTTCGGCAAAGCCCGCAGTCTTCCTTCCTCGTGGGTTTGGGGTCCAGTCCTTTGCTGCTCCTCAAACAGCATCTCCGAGGCAACAGAAGGCAGTGGCTGGGCCAGCGGAGTCACACTTTACCCCCGCAAAGCGCACCTCACCCTTTTCCTAAGTGCGTGCGCGTGACGTGGTTTTGTTCCGTAATAATTTCTGTGTTTTCTTGTAGCATGGACACATTTCAAGGGACTCTCCGGGAAGTTCTGAGGACGGAGTGATT